GGCGTGGAGGTGACAGTGAAGCTGTCCTGGGCCGGTCCGTCTCCTCTGAAATTCTATGCAGGTTCCTATCGCCACCTGCTCCAAAGTTAGGTGATGATAGATAGCGGTGTTCCTCCTGCCAACCCCAGGCTCTGCGCCTGCCTCCCTCACCTGGGCATCCACCTCCTCCCTCTCCACACCTGGCGCAGGGCCTCCTTCCCCCAGGGGCCCCCCAGGGGCTGCCACCTCCCGCCCCGCCCAGGCCGGGCCCTTAGCAGGTGCTTGGTTTTTAGGGGAGGATTCCTACGACCCAGAGGTCAGGTGTCAGGGAGCCCAGTCCTGAGACTGAGTAACAAGGGAGGGAAATATTCGGGTTGAGGAATTTCTCAGAGCCCCTGAGGCAGGCTGGTCACCGAGCCTTGGGGACTACGATGTAACTCATTTTATGAGAATTATTATCGATAACGGCTCCTCTGCTTGCTTTTCTCACATTTTTTACTCTAATGTATAGCTTCTTTAGACAATAAATGGGACTGGCAGGGCCAGGAGACAGAGAAAGGAAGCTGAGTGAGAGGGAGTGAGAGAGGTAAAGACCTCTGGCACCTGAAACATGAATTCAAGTCAGGAATACAATCAGGCACCTCTCATGCAAATTGATGCAAATGAGGCAGACAGTCAGAGCCCCTCATTGGCTAGATGGGAGCTGCCCAGCCACATGTGACTGCTGCTGTAAATACATACACCAGATTTTGAAGACAGTCCAAAAAAAACAATGTAAAATACCTCCTTAGTAATTTTCTATTACACATTGAAATAATCTTATATTGGATATACTGAGTTGAATAAAATGTTCCACCTATTTCTTTTTGCTTCTTTTAATGTGGCTACTAGAAAATTCAAAATTCTATATATGGCCCTGGCTGGTGTTGCTAAATGGTTAGAGCGTCGGCACATGCACCAAAGGGTTGCAGGTTTGATTCCTGGTCAAGGGCACACACCTGGGTTGCAGGTTTGCTCCCCTCCCCCAGTTGGGGCAGGTGTAAGAGGCAACCAACTGATGTGTCTCTCTCACATCAATGGTTCTCTCTCTCTCTCTCTCTCTCTCTCTCTCTCTCTCTCTCCCCCTCCCTCCTTCCCTTCCACTCCCTCTAAAAATCAGTGGGAAAAAAATATCCTCAAGTGAGGATTAACAACAAAAATAAATAAATAAAAGTATATATATGGCTCACATTATATTTTTATTGTTCAACACACACATAGACTAAACCCCCTGATTTTTTGGATCAAAAATACTTGAGTCCCTGGGAGGTGAGTTGACCAGTCTCTGGACTCACTTTGCACCCCAGCACAGCTGCCCCCAGCCCCTCGGCCCCATTCCGAAGGGCTGCTCCTCCCACCCGTCCCAGCACCCAGTCCCTAGCCCCCACTCACCCAGCTGGAGCCGGCAGTGGGGACCGGGGACCCTGAGAGGGTGAGTGCCCTGGCAGGTGAACGCCCTGCCAGCCAGGTCGCCCCGGGCC